TTTTTAATAGAGAAAGGTTTTCGTATGTTAGCCAAGCTGGTCTCGAACTCCTCACCTGAAGGAATCTGCCCACTCTGTCCCCCAAAGTGCTGGGATTACAGATATGAGCCCTCGCGGCTAGCTGCCCTTTCTGTTTTGATGTCATCCTGTGGGACAAGAGATGTGGCGAGTTGACTCTTTTTCTGCTCTTCCTTTGGCTAAGTAATGAACTGTCTAGATCTAAAAGTGGATCACACTTTTCTCACCAGACAAATATATCAGCCTTGCTTGACCCACACATCTACCCATTCATTACGGTCTGTGACTGCCTTCACACTGCAAGGGAGGAGCTGAGTGGCTGCAACAGAGAATGGACACCAGTGCAGCCTAGAATAGTTTCTCTCTGGCTCTTGCAAAGACAGTTTGCCAACCTGCTGATGTACTCAATGCCCAGTCCTTCAAATGTCTTTAAAAGTCTACCTTGGGGCTGGGCATGGTGGCCTCTGCCTGTAATCTCAGCACTTTGGGAGGCTTAGCTGGGCAGATCACTAGGGGTCAGGAGTTCGAGACCTCAAGTGACCAGCCTGGCCAACATGGTGAAACCCCATCTCTACTAAAAATACAAAAATTAGTCAGATCTCATGGCACACGCCTGTAGTCCCAGCTACGGGGGAGGCTGAGGCAGGAGAATTGCTTGAACCCTGAAGCAGAGGTTGCAGTGAGCTGAGATCACACCACTACACTCCAGCCTGGGTAACAGAGTGTCTCAAAAAGAAAAAGAAATTCCATCTAAAAAGTCCACATCAGCTGCCCTTCCATCATGACACCTCTAAGCTTGCTATTCCTAGCCTTGAAGAGGTACAGTCAGTCATACTACTTGGAAGGCTATAATATATTTATTTTGTGGGAGAAAATAACAACCTGATTTCTAGACAAGATGATTAGAGCGCAAGTCCTGCGGCTGCTCTTTTCCTCCTGAAGCATGGAGGTGGGAACCCTACGGGGTAGCAGGTTCTGACACCCCTTTTGGTGATTACACCAGGCAGGAAGTCAGCGAGTGGTACTCTTGGCTGCTCCATCCTGTGCCTTTTTATGGAGACACTTTCCACTTAATTAATTAACTGATTTATTGTAGAGATGGGTCTCACCATGGTGCCCAAGCTAGTCTTGAATTCCTGGCCTCAAGCAATTGTCCTGCCTCAGCCTCAACAAGTGCTGGGGTTACAGGTGTGAGTCACCACTTCCAGCCTTTTCCCACTTTAAAGACCACATGATGCTACTGGACCGTGAGCCTGGCGGGTGACACGGCCCTCAGGATGGGCTCAGCTTTCCTGTCTTCCCCGTTACACACCGTACTCATATCTGAGCCTTCCTAGATCCCCGCATTCGTCAGAAATCAGTGAACGTGAACTCACTTTATGCAACTTATATACAGATGTGATCGATAAAGGCTAAATTAAAAAGGATACGCATGAATAGTAGTTTCTCACGCCCTCCAGATACCCAGAGAGCACCACCAATTCCAGTGAGTTAGCTTCATCTTTTGCATGACTTTCTCACTCTACCTATTAAATGGCCGTGCCAAAAAAAAAAATGCTAACATCAAAACAAAATTTTTTGCTCATCTTTGAGGTCCAAGTTGACTGAAATATAATTTTGAAATATTGGTCTTTGAAAATAACTTTCCAAAAGAACAATGCTGTATTTTGATCAGTCACAGCACACGCGTGGTCAGTACAGGCAGGTGCTCTGTCACTACTCCCCACCCCCACCCCTGAGGTTCCAGGATCTCCTTGAGAACAACTGGAGAACAGAGACTCATCTTAGAAAGCCTTGGAAAAACAGAATACAAAACCTCCTTCATGTTTACCTGATTTGGTCTGACAGCAAGCAGAATGAGGAAGAGGCTCACAGGAAGGAGGGGTGAGATCTCCCACGAGACCTGGCTTCTGCCTGTCCAGGTACTGAACAGCTCCGCCTCTCAGTTGTACACATGAAACAATCCAGCATCTTCTTCAGCTGAAATCTGACCACTGAATGGGTGGTCCTCATTGTACCAGGGGCAGCAGAAAGAACCAGTAATACAACAAAGGCCATAGGGCAGTCTTGGCTCTGACTCAGGTCTCATGTTGCAGTAGCTATGAGACCTTGAGCAGGACACCAGGTCTCATGTTGTAGTAGCTACATGACCTTGAGGAGGACACCAAAAATCTGAGCTGCCATTTCCTCATCTGAACAACGGATATGGTATGCTACTTTACTTTCAGGGTAGACATAATAATTCTGCCAAATTCTCACAAAATCTAGCCCAGCATCAGATACATAAAAGAAATTTGTAAAATTGCAGCAGTTATCATTTATATACATTTTAATAAATGTCATTGTGCATTGTCTTCCAAAAACAGACTCAAGAAAATCAAACATGTAAACGTGATTTTGAAGGAGACAGGTAATTTTGATAAGCTTAGTTTCCCTTTTTACATACTCGAAGACTCATTTATAAGACCTGTTTTCCAATAATAATGGCATTATGAGATTCCATGATGGAAAGTATACCGGTAGAGAAATTAGTATCCGATTCTTACCAATTGTTTTCCTATTCCTATTTAGTGTTCTTCTTTAAGCATGTTTCTAGGAGATTAAAATTGCTTTAGTTAAAAAAAAAAAATCGTGGCTGAGCACAGTGGCTCACACCTGTAATCCCAGCATTTTGGGAAGCCAAAGTGGGCAAATCATGAGGTCAGGAGTTCGAGACCAGCCTGGCCAACATGGTGAAACTCCATCTCTACTAACAATACAAAAAATTAGCTGGGTGTGGTAGCAGGAGCCTGTAATCCCAGCTACTCAGGAGGCTGAAGCAGGAGAATCACTTCAACCTGGGAGGTGGAGGTTATAGTGAGCCAAGATTATGTCACTGTACTCCAGCCAGGGTGACAGAGTGAGACTCCGTCTCAAAAGAAAATGTATTCCAGCTATGATATCCTGTTGGTCAGACTCCAACCCTGTCACCCACCAACAGCAACCAGGTAAGAATAATTCCTTCCCTAAGCTAGTTCTGCAGGAAACACAAACCAGAACAAATTTCAAGCACCCAGGGGTTAAATTTAGGAAGCAGGCATACATAAGAATGGCAGTTAATAAATATCACTAGCTGTTGTTAAGGCTCACAATAGCACTATGATTAGCTGGGAGGTTTCTCGCATTATTCCTCAATGCTCTCTCATTTCAAAGGAGACATTATATTATAGACTTCATTTTCTAGAATCATCTTGAAAGGCATATTGTGATTACACATAAAAACCTTCCTTCCACCTAAGAATACTCGCTTTGCAGACTGCTTTAAATTTTGCACTCTATACATTATCCTATTTAATTCTATAGCAGTTCACACATGTTGGGTGAGAAAGTGAATTCTGAAATACTTTTGTGACCTGGATCAAGAAATAGCAACAACACGGCGGGGCGTAGTGGCTTGTGCCTATAATCCCAGCACTTTGGGAGGCAGAGGCGTGCGGATCACTCAAGGTTAGGAGTTTGAGAAGCCTAGCCGACATGGTGAAATCCTGTCTCTATTAAAAATGCAAACATTAGTCGGGCATGGTGATGCCTGTAATGCCAGCTACTTGGGAGGCTGAGGCAGGAGACTCACTCGAACCCTGGAGGGGGAGGCTGCAGTGAGCTACCACAGATCGGTACCATGAACCCTGAATTCTAAGTCCCAAAGCCAGTGTCATTAGGCACCTTGCTTTGAGAGAGAGTACCCCGTGTGTGGCAGGAGTTTGTGAGTGACATATAAAAAAGGACAGTTTCTACCCCAAATCTCCAATTACACCCTGCTGTAGGGAGGGGAATTCAATAAGACACCTAAGAGCATTTAAAATTAAGATTTCCCCAAGGACAATCTTTTGTCAGGGTCAGAGTGCATACATGATTCCCCACATTGAAGTGCTGGTCATATATATACAATGTATATAGTACTTACCCATTTCCCAAGCACCTGGGCCAACATGTTTCCCAATTAGTCTTTAAACCCACCTGTGGTCAGTCGTGGATGCCCCATGGGAGCTAAGACTGGCCTGAGGGCAAGGGAAGATTCCATGACACCTGGGTTTCCTGTGCCTGGGAGACTTCCTTCCCTACCCTCTTTGCAACCTCAGGAGAGAAGCAGCACTCTAGGGGAGCTGTTGCCAAGGACAGCGGTGTGGGGGCGTCCCAGAAAGTGGGTGTCACTGCAGCAACGTCAATTGCTCCTTCTTTTCAAGAGATTATCAGCATAAGAGCTTTTGTCAAGAAGGACGTATACTGTATAGTATTTTTTATCATGTCTATATTCAAATAAAATACAAGCTTGAGGCTGGGTGTGGTGGCTCAAGCCTGTAATCCTAGAATTTTGGGAGGCTGAGGTGGGCAGATCATTTTTGAGGTCAGGAGTTCAAGACCAGCCTGGCCAACATGGTGAAACCCTGTCTCTACTAAAAAGACAAAAATTAGCCGGGTGTCATGGCATATGCCTATAGTCCCAGCTACTCGGGAGGCTGAGGTATAAGAATCACTTGAACCTGGGCACCAGGGGTTGCAATGAGCCCAGATCACACCACTATACGTTAGCCTGGGCAACAGAGTGAGACTCCGCCCCCCCAATATATATGTATAGATAGATATAGATGTACACATATGCTTGTGCCAGATTAACCAATTACCAGATTACCAGATTAATACAGTCACCAAATCAGTATTATCACTGAATGTTCTAAGGTACTGAACAATTTATTTTAACCCTGACAACTGCTTGCAGATATTACAATGTGGCTCCTCCTCTGAGGAGAACTAGTGGGTTGCTCTCATCAGTGAATCTATTTTCACAAAAGCTCTGCATTTTACGGCACAGGACTCTCCCAGGCATGAAGGACAGCTCTGAGGCCATTCAACCTCAGGGTGTCTGAAGCTTCCCGGGCTCTCTCTGGGTGGGCCCTTCACACACACACACACACCACTGCATCCTGACCCCAGAGACGCCCTACCTGCGTGTACGATAGAACTGGCACCTCTTCAGGGGGATCTTGACCACATGCTCCCGCAGGCCCACGAACAGGACGCTCTGGCTGTGCAGGATCTGCAGGCTCCTGATGGATTCCCTCCGCCTCTCAGGGAAGAGCTCAATCTCTTCCAGCAAACAGCTCCTTGAGGTCTGATTCACCGGTGCCCGCACTTTCTTAATGGTTCCATAATCTACGAAGGCCACAGGATGAGAAGGAAACAAGGTCAGAGGGTCTCACAAACCAATCCCTGGTTACACAGAGTGCTGTGTACGCAGCCATGGACCTCCGCCAGGAAAGCCATCTGAGCATCCTTCAAAAACAGTACACCTGGGCCCCACTGCAGACCAGTTAGGTCAGCTGCACTGGATGTGGGGGCTAGGCAGCAGTATCTTTTAAAATGATGCACTCATGTAGTGAATGATGAGGACTAGTCATCCACGATTGGACCCTTCCAGTTCCAAGGCTAGGGATGGAGAGCTCAACATGGCAAGCTTCCTGCCATCCTGTGGAGAACATCAGGAGAGAGAGACCCTCAAAAGACAATGTTAGATTCTTAGTGTCAGAAGCGCTGACTTTGCTGCCCAGCAGGGCGAGGAAAACACAACATGATGGCTGTTGGAAACCGATGCTGGGTGCCGCAAAGGAAAATCAGCACTGAGACAAAGATCTTTCAGCAACGCAACTTACGATTCCTGGATGCAGGAAGGGCACTCTTGCTAGCTATCCTGCCAGAGAGTACAATGAACAAATGAACAGACATATTTATTCCTTACCCATTTAGGGTTGGTGTCCTCACTGCTGTGTCTGATCTCCGTCGGCTGGAGCCAGACCTCACAATCTAAACTAAAACCCAATTGGCTAATAACTGGAAACTTTTCTAACCAGGTAAAAGCAAGGGAGAGCAAACAAAGGACGTCCGAATAAGAAAGGGGCGTAGACTGTGAGCTGGGACATGCCTGTAAGCACGTCCAGCACAGATATCTTGGTTAAAGTACAGGGACATAGAATATACTATGTGCCTGTAATCAAGGCATGTCTAACAGCTACAGAGGATAGGGCTTACCGAAGAGTTATTAGCGCACTTATGATTTATTCTCTAACAAGAAAGAAAACTTTAAAGAGGAACTTTCCTACTTCCCACAATGGTCAGCTTCAAATGTCCAGGACCACAATGATGGCCCCTCCTCCTTCCTGTCCAGAGAAGTGCACCCTCCTCCCTCTCCCTCCCTCTTCTGTGTATAGTATCTTCTTTCCTTCTAGTGCTTGCTCTGTGGGATGATTTTCTTGGACTCAAGTCCTCTAAACCTTCTTTTCTATGCTTCTGAACATCAATTTCTGATCTGTTCAAGCCCTCTGCGCTCCAGGCTTTCTGCTCCCTGGCTGTTTCTGTGCACGTATTTATATGCTTGACCAATAGCACTGCTGGGTGAGCGACCCCTGAACCATGCAGCCTTCCTAGCTATGAGGGGTGTGGAGCAGGGTCTTCTCAGCATGCCAGTGGGAGGATGGTGGGGACAGCATAGCCAGCACCTCTGTGTAGAGGGGACACACATGTGAAACCTACATTGCCCTCCCAGGTGACCCCCAACCCCTTGCTGCCAGCCTGCAAATCCCAGGCATGGAATCCAGCCTCCTGGAAGCCCCTCAGAGATCTACACAAGTACCTGGAATCATTCTGAAGGTCCTGACTGAATAAACCCTTCCACAATCCTGAGTTTCAAAACATCAGAATTCTTATTTTACAAACACAGAAAATGAGTTTAAGAAGTTATTCTGAAACCAGAAGTAGTCAGACATCTTTGACTTCAAGGCCTCCTATCAAGCAATTAGTTGCAAAAGACCTTGGATAGAAAATACTTTACATTTTTCTCTTTCTATGAAAGCCTTATGGAGGCTATTTGTGTTTTAAAAAATACATACACAGTCATGGTATTAGTCTGAATTTACTTATATCTGAAACATCTCCAGTGAACATTTTCTGATTAGGAACTGGCTGGATAATCACGTGTACGGTATTGGCAAACAATCGCTTGCTCTTCTTCTAAGGTAACTAATTAAATATGTGACTGTTGGAAAAGATAAAGCATACACTGAAGTATACTATATGCTGGGAAGATTTTAAAATGATCTTGGAAGAAAGAGTATGTATTTGTGTTTATATAAAAGGTTAAGGGCAAAAAAGAGAGAGGGGAGAGAGAATAAAAAGAGACAGCTGTGGCGTAGACAGCAAGCATTTTCCCAAATTCACAGTTCACAGATGTAAGCATGTGAGGAAAAAAATGTACGCCTTAATTCTATAATTCAAATTAATTTTGACTTGGAGATCACAGTTCATGAGCTTGTCATAAAATTCAACCTCAGCGATTCTTAGGTCTCTCTGCCTGGGGTAGAGCAAAGCATCAATAAACTGACACAGCACCAAGGAACTAACAGGAGCAAAATGGGACTTCAGGGAAGGTGACTTCAGCACAAATGTGTCACCACAAAACCCTGCAGGGAGGTCCCTATGAGGCGCCAGAAGAGGGAGGTGCCCGCCTTCCTATAGAGCTGTGATGGGCACGGTGCCTGTGGCTGCCTTTGGGACATCATTGCAGCAGGTGACATCATCTGAGCCACAGGTTAAGAGGGAGGCAGGGGCAGCAGGGCTCCTGGGAAAGCTATATGACAGACCCCTGGGTGAAACAGGAGCTTCCACAGAAATTCAGGGCTGAGGCGGGCTGCCTAGAGTGGGAGAGCCAGCTGGAGAATCACAGTGCTGTGACCACCGTCACCGTATCTGTCCACCAACCAGCCCAGCGTGGCATGGGAAACAGTTTACAGAACTGCAGTCTATCCAAGAGTTTTACAAAGACTCCATGCTATTTATTGTTTATTTCATTGATGATTATAAATCTCAGAAACCTGACCAAATTAACAAGAGTCCAAATGTCAATATGCTCTTAGCTATTTCAAATTCTTAAGCAATTGCGGAAAGAATCAACTTTTTAAATATCTGTGATAATTTGACTTAAAAGAATGGGCCATCACTGATCATAAAGTTTCACTGCATATTTCCATACACCTTGCGTCTGATTTTCCGACTTCTGGGAACTAACAAAACTACAGGGCTTAGCATTTTAGAGCAAGTGCTGAGAGTGGGCTTGCACGCTGTCCACAACACACGACCTCGCTGTCTCCTTCACTCCCTGGGGCATCTGGTCATGTGATGAGTCCCCTCCACAGTTCCCTCTTCCCTCTGCGTAGAGTCAGCACACAGGGTCCCTTCCTGTCTCCTTGAAGCTCTTCCTTCCCCTGCCTGTGTCCTGCCCTTGCTCTGAACTCCTGCATGCTAACGCTTTTTGTCATAGCCTCCTCCTCCCCTGTCCTCATGATCACACCTGGGTCTGTCTTCAAAGCTGGGATCTCACTGCTGAATGTCGGCTTTGTATCTGCAACTAAACCTCTAGGGACTGGAGACAACAGAAACTTGACAGGCCTACCTGACTCTTCATGTGGCTTCCCAGCATGTCCCACCTCCTGTGACCTTGTCTAAGGGACAGCAGCACATAATCCCAGTGCCGATGATGGCATCTCTCCTTCCCTGTCACCCACAGCTCACCTAGTTCTCATCCAGCTGCCCCTGCCATCCTGCACTCCTGCAGCTTCCTCTAGACCTCTCTCACCCACATCTCCCCAGCACACTCACTCTGCTCTCCCCATTGCATCTAGAATCAGCCTCAGGGCATGCACTTGGTAGCCCCATTCTCCTGTCTCCACCCTCATCTGTGCCTCTCTGAGCTCTGGCACTGGCCACCAGGAAGCACTCACAGCACAAGAGCCTGTGATGGTGCCACACTCTGAACATGCAGCTCCTGTGCCTGAGGTAACAAATGACAATGTCATTTTCTTTTAGTGGCAGAAACACGGAGACTGCTCTATAAAAGAGACACCCCAAAAACCCCACAGATTTCTGGTGGCATGTGTCTGTAGTCCCAGCTATTTGGGAGGCTGAGGCAGGAGAATCACTTGAACCTGAGGGTGCGCTGAGATTGTACCACTGTACTCTAGCCTGGGGCAACAGAGCAAGACTCAGTCTCAAAAAGAAAAGAAAAAAAAGAAAAGAAAAGAAAAGAAAAAAAGAAAAGAAAAGAAAAGAAGGAAGGAAGGAAGGAAGGAAGGAAGGAAGGAAGGAAGGAAGGAAGAAGGAGAAGAAGAAAGAAAGAAAGAAAGAAAGAAAGAAAGAAAGAAAGAAAGAAAGAAAGAAAGAAAGAAAAAGAAAGAAAGAAAGAAAGATTGATTTATATTTGATAAGGGAGGACAACAGCAGGAGCCTAATGGATCTTGCAAAGCTATTTATATTTGGTTGCTGTTTTTATTTTACATTATTTACCATGGTTTTAGTTACTAACTTACTTGTTTTTTGTTTTTTTGTTTTTTTTGAGACGGAGTTTCGCTCTTGTTACCCAGGCTGGAGTGCAATGGCAGGATCTCGGCTCACCACAATCTCCGCCTCCTGGGTTCAGGCAATTCTCTTGCATCAGCCTCCTGAGTAGCTGGGATTACAGGCACGTGCCACCAGGCCCAGCTAATTTTTTGTATTTTTAGTAGAGACGGGGTTTCACCTTGTTGACCAGGATGGTCTCAATCTCTTGACCTCGTGATCCACCTGCCTCGGCCTCCCAAAGTGCTGGGATTACAGGCTTGAGCCACCGCCCCCGGCCTTACTAACTTACTTGTTTAGTGGTTTCTACACTTGATCTTAAGTTCCATAAGGACAGGAATTATTTCAGTTATAACCTGTGAGGTATGCAGAGTGGCTGCTATTAGGGCCAGTGGAGATTTGATGTTTCATAAATATTCACTGGAGAAAGACTGAACAAATGAATGAGGGAAGGAAGGAAGTGTGGCCAGCCTGGAATGAGAATGCCATTATTCCTCCCATATTTGCTAAGGAGTGCTGATTAATATTTTTCCCATTATGATCTCTAACGAGTTATGATACTAGTCAGCATGAAGGTGAAACAACAAACATGAACTTCGCCAACTCAGAGAGATTTCAACCCAAGGTGCCATAAACTAAATATGAATAAAGAAAATTATTATGGTTGGTTTCATCCAAGAAAATATTAACTCTGAAAATTTGCCACAAGAAATAAATCCATACAAACCTTCTATACACCTGAAATTTGATACCCCCATCAAAGTTATCTG